TTGAAGGAATCCAGAAGTATTCAGGTTAGATTAAACTTTCCTGTGATCCAATGAATTGTTAGTAATTAGTAAATTCCATGTCATTTTTGTTGTAACACTGCAAGTGTCTCTCTTATTAGAGCCCCATGCAAACCACATGGCAGGTTAGGGAATCCAAAGCCTGGGAGACCTACCCAGTAATGGTTTCTAAACTATTTCTGCTAATAGTAAGGGTGAGGGTTTAGCGAATGGTCAGTTTTATTTTGGCACTGATTGGGTGTGTGATTGAAGCTGCTGTTTCCTCGTCGTACTGACAGACTGCGCTTTGTTGCAGATCATCGCTGCTCAGGAGGAGATGCTACGGAAAGAAAGGGAGCTTGACGAGGCCAGGAAGAAGCTGGCCATGATCAGACAGCAGCAGTACAAGTTCCTCCCCTCCGAGCTGCGGGAGGACGGCCAGGAACAGTGAAAGTGTGTGTGCCTCGACGTATCGGTAACACAACAGTGATCCATGGAATGCTCAGGACCTTCCCCCAGCTACATGTAGAGAAAGGAGGCTTTATGCTTCATTAGAAATGTAACATTAGGCAGATTGAAGAAATTCAAAAGCGTAATGATGCCAATGATTATGAATTTTGATAATGCAGAAATATATATGCTTTAAGTCCTCATTAAAATATCTTCTTTTGATTATTATGATCATATACGTTTCAATATATAGGGCTCTTTTTTAGTTTAGTTTTTTTATCCTGATTGCATGTCTTTGTTGGTACATGCTGTGTGCCTTTGTCCTGCAAATAAATTCTGCTCGCCTTCACTGTTAGACCTTAGAGATATCCAGGCAAGCACAATTTTTGCAAACTATGCATAATCTGTGCAGATGTTTTTTTGTGTGTGTGTGTGTGTGTGTGTGTGTGTGTGTGTTTAGAGACAGAAAGATGTGATGTGTAAGTGATAGTTCAAAGGTCTGCGGTCGCATGATGGTGATAATATTCAGTACATCATCCTGTTTGAAATCTGAAATAAGGACAATGAAATAAAATATTGCAGTTTTTAAATTTAGTTTAGGAAAAATGAACTTTGCGATGGAACAAATCAGAGTGAAAAACATTATTTTTTTAAAGATTGAGCTATTAAATGTATTAGAAAGGTGTCTTGCAATAAGTTACTTAGTTTTTTATGTCAGTATTTTGATGTAAGCAGCTGCAGTATTTAGGCCTGGATTGGAAGACTTGTTTGGGTACAAATTATGAAGCCATATATTTAACATCAAGACATCATATTGACTGTATTTGGGTGCTCAGTGTCTAGTGACTTACTCCAGTAACATGTTATCTGCACCAGTATAGTACAATCCTGTGATTCTAAACTGAGATATACACAAACTTTTGGCTTCCTAATGCTTTCCTGTATTACTTACATAGATTTCAGTTTATTTCTCATTACCGAGAACCTAATGTTAACTCACTCTTGATTCAGTAAATCGGTGCTTATAAAGTGCCTTTATAACGTATTTTTCAATTGTGTAATACCAACCATTTACCCTCGAAGTGCACTTAATTCTTAAGTCATTTCAGTAATTTATCAGAACATCACTTAAATCCACCCTTACACCACACATGTCTTGTTCTTTTACATATTATTTTTAGAAACAAACATGACACAAACTAGAACAGTATACTTAATATAAAAAAATGACTGTAATCATACAAAGCCTTTTTTCTTTTGGTCACATTTTGACTTAACCGTGGTATACATGTAATGCTGGTGTACAGCTGTACCACCTCATGGGCACTGTATGAGAGATTTATATTCAATAAAACCAGTTTTCTGTGAAAGTGTTTAAATGCATTTTTTAACAGTTTGACATTAACTCTTCTTACCCTGTTCACAAGTTACACTCATGTATAACTGTGTCATTCTTTCACTATATTTTATGGAAATATATTGCTGTGTTTTATTTCTCCATCCTGTGTAAAAACACTTCCTGATAGTGGCTGTGATGAAATTATTTTAAAAAATGTATAATTTTTGTCATTTTATTCTAATCATCGTTCTGTCACACCACGAAAAGGTGTTTTTTAACTAAATTATTTACATATCCCTTATGAAAAAAAAAATTATACATGTATTTATATTCAGGATTATGATATTAAAGTTTTAGTGAATATCAGCGGGGTCCCTAATTATAACTCATTTGAAAGCCTTGTTCTTAGTCTTTCTCACTCGATCTGGAAAACACTGCAGCCAGTTCTATTTGTTATAGTGTACCGCGCTCCTGGACCGTACGCTGATTTTCTGTCTGAATTCTCAGAGTTTTTTATCAAGTTTAGTCCTGGAAACAGATAATGTAATTATTGTAGGTCATTTTAATATTCATGTGGATGTTGATAATAACAGCCTGAGCAATGTGTTTATCTCATTAATTAGACTCAATTGGCTTCTGTCAGAGTGTAAATACGCATTGTTTAAGTCTTCAACATTTAAGTCTCCCCACATAATCCTTTATCAGTCTTTTATTTAATAACTTTAGAATTCTTATTACTAGACTACAAGCCATTAGGCAAAAACATCCTACAACAGATGTCTATCTGACAGTGCTGTAGCTAAATTCAATGAGGAGATTCTGTTTTTAATTCAATGCCATGTCTGAATATAACAGAGGACTCCTATAATAACCTTAGTTCCTCCCAAATTGATCATCTTGTTAATAGTGCTACAGGCTCACTGCGAACAACACTCAACTTTATTGCCCCTCCAAAAAAGAAGATAATAAAACATAGGAGGCAAGATAGCCTCAAAACATATGTAAAGGCCCTCTGTAATGCTAGAGCAGCCTATAATTCAACATTAACAGAAGAAAGTAAGCACTGTAGCCAGGCTGACAGAGTCACAGCTCTATTGAGCCATGAATTCAATTCAATTCAATTCAATTCAATTTTATTTGTATAGCGCCAAATCATAACAGAAATTATCTCAGGACACTCTTCAAAATAGAGCATGTATAGACCTATACTCCTTATAAAATTATTTACAGAGACCCAACATTTCCTATCATGAGCAAGCACTTGGCGACGGTGGCAAGGAAAAACTTCCTTTTAAGAGGCAGAAACCTCGGACAGACCCCAGCTCTAGGTGGGTGGCTGTCTGCCTTGACCAGTTGGGGCGAGAGACAGACAGAGACAGAGACAGAGAGAGAACAGCAAGTACAAGACCATTTACATAAAGCAAACTTCTAGGACTGCCTTTTTTTTCACTTACGTAACATTGCAAAAGATGCTACAAAGAACGCTGCAGCACGAATAGTGACAGGAACTAGGAAATAAGATCATATTTCTCCTGCATTAGCTTCTCTGCACTGGCTCCCTGTAAAATTCAGAATAGAATTTAAAATCCTCCTCCTCACCTATAAAGCTCTTCATGGTCAGGCCCCTTCATATCTTAAAGAGCTCACAGTACCCTATTACCCCTCTAGAACACTACGTTCTCTGAATGCTGGGCTACTTGTGGTTCCTATAGTCTTCAGTTACCAAGCTCCTCTCCTGTGGAACCAGCTTCCAGTTGTGGTTCGGGAGGCAGACACCCTCTCCACATTCAAGAGTAGGCTTAAGACGTTCCTCTTTGATAAAGCTTATAGTTAGGGCTGGATCAGGTGAGTCCTGAACCATCCCTTAGTTATGCTGCTATAGGCCTAGACTAACTTCCGAGTTATGTATGTTACTAACTTCACTTCTTCCCTGGAGTGTTTGTGCTTTCTTGTCTCTCAGGTTCTCATGGATCCTGGTGGTGCCTGCTGCCATGATCCTGCTTGACCCCCACTGCCAATATTATTGATATTATTATTATTATTAGCATTATTAGAATTATTATTAATAATATTATTATTCATCGTAGCCCATCGTTGTGGCAATTGGAGTTGTCATCGTCATCAGTCATTTCTACTAGTATAGTTGTTGCTTTTGTTGTTGCTGTGCACCATTGTCTCTGTCTCTGTCCTTCTCACTTTATTCCCCATTGCTACAAAAAAACAAAAAAAGTCCTTCTCACTTTATTCCCCATTGCTACAAAAAAACAAAAAAAGGCCTCAAATTTGGTTGTCTTTTCAGAACAGACTAATCCTGCACAGAGCATATCCAAGTACAGGAAAAAAGGTGTTTGACAGAGGTTCTGACTGGCTTGCTCATCTGTTATTGGAGCAAAGAGCAAAGGGGGGGGACTTACAAAGGGCCAATTAACCTCCTTTGGGGCCTTTGTGCAAAGATAAGGTGCTGGGCCCCTATTACCATTTCCTGCTGGACACAAGATGCCTCCTACTTCACTGTAAAGTTGATTCTCAGTGTATGTGCCCTTTAAGATTCTACATCACACTTGTACAAGTTGCATATTGCACCAGGATTGACTTTCAAACTACTTGTCATGTCACAAAATCAAGAAACAGATTTTTGACTGGAGGGGGACTTTAAATGCAACCTTTTCTGTCTTTGACAGACTCTTCAATTAAGTCTTTTTTACATTTTTACATTTTCAAATTAACATTTCATGATATAGAGTTTGTTCTTTGAATATGACATTTATTTTTCTATTTCTAATCATATTTAATTAAGGTTTATGAAGAATGTAACTTTATATTTTATTTTAAGTTATGTACTTAAGAACACATTTTACTTACTTAAGTATTTCCATTCCATGCTACAGCTTCATTCATGGTGTAAATAACGTATGTGTTTTCACATAGTATGCTACTTTTAAAAAGATTTATATATTTCCTTAGCATCATTAAGATTTCAAGACTTTCTAGGAGGAAATGTAAATGTTTTCTCTGGGTGAAGCTTTCTCCATAGATATCTTGGATACGATCTGAGGTGTGTCATTTTGTTATACCTGCACGTGCGAATGTTAAGAAATCGATGAAAACGGAGACAGGCGTCACGCGCACAGAATGGACAGCTCTCGCTGCCTAAATATGGGCAACCTTCCCCGTGCGGATCCACACTGGGAAAAAAAAAAGTCTGGGGCTCGTGCAGCTGGTATTCCATCCTCGAGCTGTCGGCAAGCCGCTCAGACTAACCTCTCGCGCACTCCTGTCCACCTTCACAGACCGGTGCCTCTGTCTGTCCGGATAACCAAAGCTCTTACCTTCTCCCTCTGCCGAGAACACAACCTGAAGAAACATGGAAGCCATCAAGAAGAAGATGCAGATGCTGAAGCTGGATAAGGAGAATGCGATAGACCGGGCAGAGCAGGCTGAGGGGGACAAAAAGGGAGCAGAGGACAAATGCAAACAGGTATAGACATATGAGGTAGCCGCAGTATATTTACACAGCAGCTCAATCATCTCCCCTGAAATGAAAGACAATATTGTTCTCAGTGTATTTGCACAGTCTTTTTCTTATGAGTTATAGATCGGGAATTTCTTTTGGTTATAAATTTCTTGGACAGGGGCGGATTTAGAGAAATATTCATTGGTGTCCAGAGCATGGCATGGAGACTTTAACGGGTAAAAAAAATATAAGCTGATTTAATCGCAAACAATCACACATATCAATATTTGCTTGGAAAAGCCCCCAAATGATGAGATCTTATTTCAAAAACATTGTGGCACATAATAACATTGAACATCAAACAGAAATATCTAAAGGGGGCATTAGAAATGAATACATTGTTTTACTTCCAAATCTTCAGACAATTTTCCAAAGACATGTCTTTTTTAATTGAACTTAAGCCTATCAGTCTAAATTGTGGCCACAACAGATCATTGACAGTATTTGACACCAAACTGGGGTGGCCGCTGGGCTGGACAGGTATTTTTAGGGGCCCATTCCACCCCTCTAGATGCACCGCTGCTCGTGAAATAAAATGCATAATTTTTAATGGAGAACTTTGCAAAACAATGTTTCAAATATGACTAAAGCAATAAGATTATCAACGTAAAAGTGAACTCAAACAAGATAATCAAGATAATAAAAGCAGATTTGTCAAGTGTTTTACACAGAGACTGAAAAGAAAACCACAGCCTAACTTCCTCAAGCAGCTTCCAAGGCGTGATGGATTTCATTAGTAAGGATCTTGGCACCATCATCTGAGGCGCAGGGGGGTTAACAACTGAGAAGAATCACTTACAGCAGGGGTCAGCAACCTTTACTATCAAAAGAGACAGTTTTGTATTCTGTGTGTAATGGCTACACATTTTTACAATTGGAGAACGTAATCACTTTAGGCCTCCAACAATGATAAATGAAAATGTCATTGCCACAGGGAGCCACTGGAGATGTGGCTCCAGAGCCACAGGTTGCCTACCCCTGACTTAGTGCAAGTCTGTGGAACTCTTGTAAGACCAAAGTACATTCTTCCTCTTATTTTGAACTCATGGCCAATACATCTGTCTGATATTGGCCTATCAAAGACTGGTATCTGCATATATGAAGACAGTTTTTTTCCAATATATAATGCAGGAAAAAAAACCTCAGTGATTTAAAAAATTGTTTAACATGTTAAAGAATAATTAACTTAAATATCATTATTCAATTTTCATTCCAGCTCACAAATTCAGTATATTGGCCACCATATCAGTTATCTGTGAATTTTTCCTTTCTAAAATCTGTATCAGTCTCAAAAATCCCATAATGCTTGGGCTCTACTCTTAAGAAATTAAAGGCTTCAGAGTTTTGCTACTACACCCTTACTTGGTCTGGTTTGAGCGTAGATATTGCTGTGTACTGATATCACTGAGTCATTTTGTTGACTGTTCTTCATTGTGCTTTTGCCATTAGCTCACAGTTGTCACTTGTAGCAAGAGTGGCCAATAAAATAACACACCTCTTAAGATTTTAGGAGCAAGAACGCATCAGAGAATTGGATTCAATTTTCATTGGCAGCAAAAAATAGGGCTGGTTTCTGTCACTGACCCTTTAGTCTTAGTCAGATTATTCATGTTATTGTAATAGTTTTGTTCTGTAGTGGGTGTAGGAATATGACGTCTAACTTAAAATTCTAAAACTTGCTTTGAAACACGGTTTGGGGCATTTTCTTCATAGTAGTGGAGCAGAGGAGACAATGTGGTCATAATGTGGAGACATTGGGAGTACAACAACTGGACACACATTCTCATGCAAACATTGTTCTGGAAGTAAACGTGGTTGTAGAAACTTAAATGTATGGAACCTTAAAGCAATAGTTTGTCATTTTGGGGAATACACTTAAAGCCTTCCTGGCCAGAGTTAGTTGGCAGTCTTCATCCAAAGCTCCATAGTTTTGCTGTAAAGGTGATGAACAAAACCTGAATGTTCTCAAAAATGCACAGGTAGCCAGTGGTTGCTACAATGGGGGCCACTCCTCCTAATGATGCAGTCTAGTTCAGCAATATGCATGTATTGGTTGATTTTAGCTGTTTGCTTATATCTGCCAATATGTAAAAAAGCTGCAGTTTAGGAATTCCAAAGATATTTTTGAGGTAATTAGAAACAGTGCCTCCATTACATAATTTGTCTACCAGAGAGCACTGTTTATTTTTACACAGAAAATTTGTTCCACACAGAGGATATCTTGGTCACTATTCTTTAAGAACAAATTTTGTTTTTCATTCATTTTGTGGGCATTTTGGACAGTCCCTGGACAGCTGTGAACTGGGACTTTGAGATGTTGCACGCCTTATCCCCTGGACTACCAAGGTGCCCCTAAGTACAAAACTTAAGGGATCCTTATAAATCATTTCTTTATGTTATGTGTGATTTAAACATATATATATATTGGCTGATATATCATCATCAGATTTTTATTAACTCTAAAATCTATGTTGGCATCAAGCTCAGATATCTAGTGTTGATCTAAATCCTGGAGGGACAATTTTCAAATTTATTTTATTTTACTTGTATAGCGCCAATTCATTACAGAAGTTATGTCAGGACACTTTTCAAATAGAGCAGGTCTAGACCGAACTCCTTATAAAATCAGACTCTTGTCACACATCACATCTCATTTGTCAAAGCACAGCACCCCCTTGCTGACTCATGATGATGGTGAACACATCAAGGAACATATGAACAAAGTCAATCAAATTCAGATTGCTGCCCCCTGCCAAATCCAGCTACAGAGTCCATTTGTGAACTGAAAAATTAGTCACAATTTATTGTTTCAGATAATGGAACATAGCGATATTCCTGCAGTCTCTCCTGTCTCTCCATGATGTTGTTGACAAGATCAGGCAGCAAACAATGAATAGAATGCTTCTTTCAGCAACTGTCTACATAGCATCTGTCCCCAGAAGATCCCAACTTGGAGCTATTACAATGCCTGCACAATTATTTATAAGAGCATTGAATACTGGTATGTCTATTTTAGTGATCCCTCTAAAGACCCCCACCTTCTTTGAATTGTTGCTCCTCTCAGAAAGAGTGTCAAGGCTGGTGGTTTGGGAGTTGTTACAATGTCGACTGTAGGATCATGACTGTCCAGGCTATTTGTGACTGAGAGGCCTTACATGGCTACAGGCTAGGAGAGACTGTCAGAAGTGATATAGAAAGGACATTTGTTCTGGGGACATTGTGGTCGGGCCACACCACTGTCATTTACAATTGGCTTTTTATAGTCCTTGAAGCTGTTGTTGCAAATGGCAACTTGTTGACAGTCTTTGCTGAGTCATTGGATACCAAAATACTTACGTTGAAAATTGAATTACTTGTGACCAAGATAATGCTCTACAGTCTGCGTGTTAGATGATATTTGAAGGGTTTATCATCTTGGGAGCATGCATAGGCTCAGTACTGAAACCTCTTAGTTCGCAGTGACGTAAACATAAAATGAGGGTCATGATGTTGGATGTTACAGGGACTGTGTTGAATACAAATCCCACTGTTATGGTTGCATAAAGAAATTTACCTTTCTACTCAGATTTTATGCATGTGGTTTGTTCTAAATCAGGATTTAAAAAAAATTGCAGTATATTGCCTTGCTTACAGTATTGCAATACATTGCAATATATTGAATCGGAACCCCTATGTCGTGATACATATCTTATCTCAAAATTATTACCGATACACAGCACACAGCCTATGCGTACACCCTAAAATTAACATGTTTTAGGACTGGTCTGCTGCATAATTCGCAAAGTACAGTTTTCTGGTCTGCGTTATACTTTTCATGCCCAAATCATGTCCATGCAACAGCAGTAGTCACTCTTTTAGGTACAAGCTCCTTGTTTTGTCTTGGCTGCTCGCAGTGTTCTCCTGTTTGGGGGTACCCCTTTCTGTATTCATTTATTCTCCTCCATGTTTTTATGTGTTGCCTTCCTGCCTCCATCCTTGCCTTGTGGAAGAACGAAAAGTGAAAAATATTTGCGTCAAGAGTAGGGTTGTGTATAAGAATCTGGTGATACAATATGTGTCACAAAACAGGAGTAATTTAATGTATTGCAATATATTGTGATACAGCAAGGCGACATATTGCAATTTAAAAAAAATCTAGATTTAGGAAAACTGTCATAGTATAAAAACAATATGATAGTGTTTTTGAGAATCAATAAAATATCACAAAACAAAATATCGCGATATGATATTTTGAGAGAACATTTTAAAGTTAAAGTTAAATATTTTCTTTAACATGTTAAATAATAAAATAAAATAAAGAAACACATAGGGGCGGCTGTGGTTCAGAGGTAGAGCGGGTCATCCACGGGTCGTTAGCACCTTGCATGGCAGCCACTACCATCAGTGTATGAATGTGTGTGAATGGGGTGACCATTCATCATAGGCTATTGTCAACCAATTCTAGAAATGAACACAAAACAAATCAGTTGGGCTCTATGTGTTTATTTAATACACTTTTCTGTTTGTGTCTATATATTTCTCCTAAAGTTAGCATTAGATAATGAATGTATGTGTCAATTTGTCCAATTATATGATTTGCTATGTTTCTGTGTATGTGTACTGTGTGTTGGTGTCTGTAGCTAGAGGAGGAGCTGCTGGGCCTGCAGAAGAAGCTGAAAGGAGTGGAGGATGAGCTGGACAAATACTCAGAGTCGCTGAAGGATGCCCAGGAGAAGCTGGAACAGGCAGAGAAAAAGGCAGCAGATGTGAGTGAAGGGAGCTGATGCCAAGGGTCACATTACTGCAGAGAGGCAACTATATTAAGACCACATTAACCTATTGTACTCAGTCCAGTCACATCTGATCCCTCACACAGTAACAGGTGTTTGTAGGCACTAGGATGTTTAACTTGAATTACTGCACAGTTGTAAATTTAGACCATCAGTGACATTACTAGTGCTATAAACCAGTCTGAGCTCCTACTGTGTTTAAAATATGCACAGACAAGGGGCTGACTTTATGGCTTAGATCTAAGTAATAGTCAAACTTCAGATAGACATCCAGTCTAAAAACTCTGGCCTCAGTTTGATACTGTCAGTCAAAATTTACACTCCCATAACTGCATTCTAACATGTCATACATGTCCACAAATCTTAACCATTCTGGTTGTGCTGAATCTCCACAACATCGTCATTAGCTACTGCTGGGTGGCAGTCTCGCCGCCCTGCAGTATTAAATCTGTCATGTGCAGTATCAGATTCTAACAACATATCATCAGCTTGTCAGCACTTGAAATGCCATCAATTTTAACCAATCTGGAGAGCTTGGCATGGAGGATTTGGTTTCTTGAGTCCTTGCTTGGCTCCATCCTGTACAGATGCTGCTGCTACGAATGTGGCTTACTGTGGAACCTCTTCGAGTTGGTTCCTACTTTGGAACCTCTTTGAGTTGCTTCCTGGGGAAATGCACACAATGCACTAAGATAAAAGTAATGTTAGTAAAAAATAAATACTACAGCATTGTATGTCATAATGTATGTAATGCACCAATATTAATCTCAACGGGCCAGTGTGTAGAATTTAGCGGCATCTAGTGATGTAGCTGAAGATCCCAATTCCATCGCTACACCCAACCCTTTCCCAGCATGAAGAGGGAACTACAATGACCGCAAGACATGCAAAAAACACCCCTACCTAGAGCCAGTGTTTGTTTTGTTTTGTTATTTTAATATAACAATAAACAATAACTAATCTTCAATCAATTATTTGGGAGATCTTGTACTTTTACACTTAAAACACAAAACAAAATTATGAAAATGCTTTCAAATTCAGCCAATTGATGCATTCTTCTGCATAAAATTGAGAGCCGCTATAAGTCCAGATAAAGTAAAGTCATACTCCAAGTTAGAAAACCAACTTTCTTGCCTTCTTTCTTCAGTATGTTAATATTTCAGGGACCCTATTCTTCTCATGCAGAGCTTCTTTCCAGGCTTTGGATGACTCCAACTAGCTTCTCTAATTCAAATCCTTGGGGGGCCACTTTAAAGGTCCATTGTGTAACATTTAGGAGGATATATTGGCAGAAATGGAATAAAATATTTATACATATATAAATATGCATAAATATATATAAATATTTCCCGTAGAATGAGTCATTTTTATCTAGGGAGCGAGTCCTCTTTTGCAGAGTCTACCATGCTGAACCGCAATGTTTCTACAGTAGCCCAAACACTTGCTCTCTTTGGAAGGCAAGCTGTATTCAAATGTTTACAATCTGTAACTTGAGCGTTAATTACCACTGAATCCTACACACTGGTTAACCTTCTACCTAAAGCACACCATCTCTAACTTTATATTTCTAACTTACCATGTGATTGACGGAATTTGTTGGTGTAACCTAGCCTATATTCAGTGCTTAAAATGTCCAAAATCCTCAACTTCACTATGTGCATAGCAACCTGCGGGATGTTACACCATTCCTAACAACCACTGTAAGTGTTCATTTAGCTCATCATTTAACTGTCTACCCTGACAGTCTAACAGTAGTAGTATGTGTTGCTTCTAAGTTTACATATACTGTGCTTTTAAGACCAGGGCCAGTAATTCTGGATGGTTATGACATTTATGCAGGTTTAGAGTGTTATGAGTGAAAGCATTTATGACCAATTATAGTGCAAAACATCAAAATGATGCAGGGAAGAGTGACGACTCCCTTTATTTATCCTAAAAGGAGTGAGACCTTCCTGTTACTGTGATGTTACCAAAGATGGAAAAGAATTTGATTCGTTTGTCTATGCTTCCAGTGCTCACAGGATCCACCACTGTAATTGTGTTTACTCCAACATATTTGCTTCAAGACATCTAGCTCTGTTCAAAGACACATTTTTACATGTGCATTTGCAGCAGGAGATATGATGAGATTTACTGAAGAAGTCAGATGCCGTGTAAAGGGAAAAGTTGTCCGAAAAATTAATGATCCAGTAAAGTATAAATACTTTACCTACTTAAGTATCCCACCTCTGCAAATGACATCACACTGCCAGTGCAGACATGATAAAAACTGAAAGAAATGGGAGTATTTAATGATATGATAAAAGTGCATGATAATAACATGTCAGGGTCCCGCAGCAGTTTGTACAGACCAGAGGTTCACAAAAAATTTTTTAAACTCAGGAACACGTCTGTGGAAAAAAATCTGAAAAGCACCTTCCCAAATAAATGTGTATGGAAGCCCATTTCCACCAATACAGAAAAAAAAATCTCTAAGTCATTATAATGACAACATTTCTCAAAATATTGACTTACTATCTCCAAAAAATGTCCGTACAACGTAGTTTCGTGTCATTTCAAAATAAGAGCCGTACTCATACTCGCTTTATTTTGAAATTGTAACCGGAAAAATCGTGCGTTGTCTCACCGCTGACTCCGTTGCCACGGAAACACCGTGACACCTGGGAGAAGCGAGGTCTTGACAGCATGGCGACTTTCACTTCCATAGACTCCGTGAGGAGGAAAATCCAAAGTCTGCAGCACGCGGCGTACGAGGCGGAGGAGCGCGCGGAGGTGCTGCAGGAGGAGGCGGACATGGAGAGGCAGGCCAGGGAGAGGGTAACTGTCCCAACCATGGGTCTGAACCGCTCAGAACAACGCTAGACCGGAAACTGCGAATTCATCAACCAACTTCTAGTCGCTCTCGATAGGTTGCAGCTCCGAAAGATGAAAATGAATCAGTTATTAGAAGAAATACAATGACACTGTAGACGAAATTAGACTTACAGTCAACCTAAATGCAATCATCTCACGTTTGTCTATGACATGATGAATATTTCATTCTTCTTCATTCTTCATTCTTAGTTTGCGTTCAAACCCAGTTGTGAGACTGATATGTAACTGAGCTGAGGTAAACTCTGCAATGTCTCAATGTGATAACGTTACATATTTCCTAGGGCTGCAGAATTAATTGCAGTATTACGAATATTACCAAATTGCAAAAGCTGCAGGTAAAATGTGTGACAAACAGGATTATAATGAAGTACTCTGCTGCAGAGATACCCTGACATTCAAATCTTGTTGTCCAGTTATAAAATTTGGTACAGACCCCCCAAAAATTCACTTTATCATGACTTTAATAGTTTTCTAAATGAAAATTCAATTTACTATGCAACAGTGATCATTCTTGTGGTAATTGTGAATTCTATTGCAATATCTGTCAAAATAATCGCTATACGATGTTACCATATCATGCAGTTCTAATTTTTCCACGTTTACCCTAAATGTTAGTCCTTGTTTATCACTGTGACAACTAGGAACATCACAGACACAAAACTGAAAAGGCCAAATCATTTCTAGACTGTGAAGATTTAGGAAATGTACTTTTAGTTTTAGCTATGAGTCACTATCAGCTGGTGTGATCTCAGTTTCACTGGAATTAGTCGATCTAGTCCCAGGTATCATATCGCTGATTTGATCTGTACAGAAGGGTGATCTGGACTGGTGTCACATCTCAGCCATTGGAAAATGTAATGTGAACAGTCAGAGTACTAAATCTGAATTGAGCAGAAATGCTTGCAGTATGAATATAGCCATATTTATCACTGGGATGCCTTAAGAGTTGTAAGTATTTGATTTTATTTAAATATTGATTATTTTCTGTCTGCTGTTATAGAGGCCTCAGTTATCATTGTCATTATGGCTATAATGGGACTTCACATTATGTGTACGTGTGTGTTTGTGTGTGTGTGTGTGTCCCTACAGGCTGAGGCAGAAGTGGCGTCTCTAAACAGGCGTATCCAGCTGGTGGAGGAGGAGTTGGACCGAGCTCAGGAGAGACTGGCCACCGCTCTGCAGAAGCTGGAAGAGGCTGAGAAAGCAGCAGATGAGAGCGAGAGGTGAAATACTTCTTGTCAATTCATCTTAAACCTTTCAGAGAAACGAAAAAAGTCCTGTTATGTCCATTACCTCCTCTCTGTGTGAGTTGTTTTAGTTCAGTTGTATACTACCTTCCAATGATCCAACTTTGGATTACTATGATAAAACAGTACCTAATGAAAGCAGCTGTTAATGTTGGGAGGCACACAATAAAGCACTTGAATGACTGAATGGTTCAACTGAACATCTAACTAGCTGCAGGGCTGGGTTAAACTGCTAGGGGGTCCCAGGATGAAACTAATTTTGCCACCAGTTAAAGACATTTGGGCCCTCATCTGGTATAGCTGGTACCCCATGTACCAAGGCTGAGTCCTTGCTGCAGTGGCCATGGGTTCAAATCCGACCTCTAGCCCTTTGCTGCGTGTTATCCCCTCTCCCCACCTTTCCTGTCTGTCCAATCCCACTGGACTGGGAGTGCTGGGAATTAAACCACTGATCCTCTGAGCCACCTGAGCCACAGTTGCCCAATTAAAGATCCCCAAACATGTCATTTCTCACTGACTGCTTATTGTTGTCTGTTCCTCTTGTCGTTCAGAGGAATGAAGGTTATAGAGAACAGAGCAACAAAAGACGAGGAGAAAATGGAGATCCAGGAGATGCAGCTGAAGGAGGCCAAACACATTGCTGAGGAGGCCGACCGCAAATATGAAGAGGTGGGAGAATCACCCGTTTTTCATGGTCTTTGTATGACCATACACACATACAACACAAAACAGAAGCTGTGTCCATGCTCCACTAGTACGAACTAATATTGCATGCTAATTCTGTAGTGTGTTCACATTGGAAAAGTAACTTAGATTAAGAAAATTAGGGATACTGAAAGAACTTTAATATCTCATATATAGCACATAATATACACAATTGATCTTTCCTAAGCCTCGCACCGTTTGGAACCTTGGTCAACTACATACTTTCCAGTACTTAGATATGCTGTGTGCTAGGCTCGTCTGTGAAAAGACACATTTTTTAAGTGGTTCAAAGATAAAAGCGACATTTATTTACACACATCGTGCGTTAGTTTTGCTAGAATTTGCTATCAGTTGTAATTAGCTACCTAATGATTACTGTAGATTACCTAGCTAGTGTTTGCTTTGTAGCAAAGAGCTAACTAGCTAACTAGCCAGCTACCTAGCTAGCTAAAGATTGATGATGTGACTATGTTGCTTTTATCTTTCAACTTCAAAATTAATACAGGAAAGGAGAATGTTGACCGAGGTTCTGACCGAGACTCGTTCAATTGTCAATGGAGCACTGAAGGAACATTGGAGGAGGAGAAAGAGGCGGGACGTAGGAAGGGTCAATTAGGATAGTATGGACGATAGAATGGAAACAGTGTCAGTGTCAGTGAGGATACATGCTAAAAGTCAATGTGATGACAGATGCTCTTTCTACCAGAGTAAGAGCAGATCATCATTCTGTTGTTTTGGAGGAGACAGTTCAGTGTGTGTTGAATGTTTGCAGGTTGCACGTAAACTGGTGATCCTGGAGGGTGATCTGGAGCGCTCAGAGGAGCGTGCTGAGGTGGCTGAGGCGTAAGTCAACACCTGCACCATGAAAACTCACACCGACACAAGAGCCACTGTACATTATTCATGTTGTCATGATCGTGTGATCACTGCTATGACAACATGTCATCTTACATATTGACTTACTATTGATGAATTTCTTACTTATTAAGTAAGATTGTTTGATATTGATTTTGATAATATTGGGAAGTGTGCATGGGCTTGTCGATTAATCTACTGATTCTTTTTTCAATAAATTGATTAATCATTTTGGAATTAAAATATCAGTACATTGTGAAAATGCCAATCACAAGTTCCCAAGAGACAAATACTCAAAGATACTCAGTTTGCCATGTTACAGAATAGAGAAAACCCTACATTGGAGACGCTAGAACCTATGGCATTTTTGCTTTGTAAAAGACCTAAACAATTAATCAATTATGAAAGTTCTTGTCGATTGATTTTCTTTTGATTGACTAATGGATTATTCACATAATCATTTCAGCACTAGAACTCTAGTGTCATAGAGCCATGTATGAATCACAAGCTGTAGGACATAACAAATGCACTAATCACATAGATCTGTATGTGTGTTTTGTGTTCTCCTTCTGTGTGTTTTTATGACATGCAATGCCTGAATACACCACCATCACCTGTATGGGACTTGTTATATTATTATATGGCTGCCCTCCCCACTGTCCCCCTTCACCCTTGAACTCCTGGACTAACCCCTGCAGGCGAGTGAGGGAGCTAGAGGAGGAGCTCAGGCTAATGGACCAGAATTTGAAGTCCATGGTGTGCGGAGAGGAAGAGGTACTTACTGTACGAACTCCACCGAGGTCTAATCCTGACCTGCTGCCTTCTGCTCCTCTGATCTGCAGGCTCTCAGCCCCTCTCTCTGTTTTCTGTCTAACCTGCACTCACCCTCTGTTCAAGCAGTACTTAAAGTCTGCTCACATTCTGTATTGTCTTTCTTCTCAACAAATCCCATGAAAAGACCAAAAGCAACTGACATAATTCAATTCAATTCAATTTTATTTGTATAGCGCCAATTCATAACAGAAGTTATCTCAGGACACTTTTCAAATAGAGCAGGTCTAGACCGAACTTTACATTATTTACAGAGACCCAACAGTACCACCATGAGCAAGCACTTGGCGACGGGGGCAAGGAAAAACTGCCTTTTAACCTCTTAAGCCCTAGCCATATTTTCAGAAAAAACGCCTAAAAAGACATACCCAAAGTAAAAAAGTTGAAGACAATTGCTTTGTTATTTGATGGAATATTGAGACATAAACACAGAGTTTTACATTTTGACGATAAAATGCTAAATTTTGCTGCGTCTTTGCTACAGGGCTGACATGAGCTGGTTAGGTCGGATTATGTTTTGCTTGGTATCAGCAGAAAGATGAGCTTCTCTAGTTTAATTTGACACCTAACATGACTGAGTCGAGCGAGCGGATATATGTGTACTGCTGCGTTTCATTTCAACTGTCCCTTATATTCACAGAGCTGTTATTTTTTTAGTTAATTGTTTAAATTATTGCCAAACAAACTGTGTTTGAGAAAAATACACTTGGACTGTTGTTTTGGTAGAGTTGAAGCCTCGTCTTTTGGAAACATTTGAAAAAAAAAAAAAACACCACAGCGTTTTATTAACTTTTTACAGGCAGTAAAGCATTGTAACGCTCGCCGGTCCGTCGGGTCTAACAGGTTAAGAGGCAGAAACCTAGGACAGACCCTTCGGCTCTAGGTGGGTGGTCGTCTGCCTCGACCAGTTGGGGTGAGAGAGACAGAGAGAGGGAGTGGGAGAGAGAGACAGAGACAGACAGACAGACAGACAGACAGACAGACAGACAGACAGACAGACTACTCCAATAGTAGTGACTGATATAGGGTTGGGAATCAGGGACACAGTGAAGAATAAAAATTCCAACTTTGTGCATTTATATTTAGTTACATGAATCTAGCAGATGATGATGATGATTAGGATAAAATTGCTAATTTTTACATTGTGGTAAATATGGACAACTGTATATTTGTTATGATAACATTACTTAAGATCAAAAACTAGCAAGTCGATAACTTTGCTAACACAGCCAAACAAGTGCAACAACACAAAACATAGCCATCAGCCAATATTACTGACTAGTCCAGTAGAAAGTAGGTCTGCAGCCTTTAATTTGGACTCTTGTCTAGAGGCTTCTCTCTTTTTTTCTCCTCTTAGCTTTTTCTACAATATCCTCTCTCTTTGCCTCTGCCATTGCCATGTCCACAGAAGCTGCTGAGACGCTCAGTCACTTCACGGTCCATCATGAAACTCTGTAAATCACAGAGAGTTGTGGAAAAGCAACTGGGGGGACCTCAGTGGGAAAACCAGAAAATATTTTCTCCATATATTATAAGACATTTTTTGCCCCATAGTTGGTGGTGTGTGACTTACTGCTGACCTGGAGTAAAGTTACATAGTGCAAGAACAGGAGTATGTGGCACAGAGTGGGAATGACAAAGGCAGAACAGTTACATAATGCTACCCCAGCTTAAAATCACTTTGAGTTTCACTGGTAGATAATTCTTAGGTTTTTAAAAACCTTTAAAGCTCCATTAGGTAAATAAAATGATTTTTTGGCATATTTGTTGAAACTTGCACTGTATCCTGACAGTAATACATGAGACAGATAATCTACATATAGATAATTTACAAGAATCCACCAGACCTGAATGATAATGACCAGAGAGTTTCCTTTCAGGCTGTGTATAGGCCCACCAATCACCACATGATGTGTGGCTACATGTGTGTAGCCTGTGAGGCATATTCTAAGGCAAAAAGCATCAATTATGCACTTGATGCTGCTCGTTATCTTATTGCTCTGAGTACATGGTAATAATTGAAGGTGACCTAGATCAGTGTATCAGCATTTTTTTCAGTCCTGTCTTGAAATATGGCAGCTGTACAGTCAGAGGACACTGTTAGAGATTTTAGTGAGAACTAAAACTAAGTTTTTTTAATAGCAAGTGCTGTAATGGACGCAGATTTGTACTTTATTTTAATACATTTAATTCCACATATGCTGTCCTGCTGCCCCAAATAGTCACTAGAGCACCAAAATGCACAATTTCCTCCTGTTTGAGTAATGTTTGCTAAAAAAAACACAATGACCAGATGTTTAAGAAAATTACTGGGAAAAAAGGAAAAACTTAATTTGAAGTTCTTAGATAAGAGCTAAGTGTACAGTAGAAACCATCTGGCTTAGAACTGAGAGCCACAGACAGGGTAGGGAAGTCACACACATTGTTGGTTTGGGTCTATTCATGGGATTTGTTGACAATAAGAAAAGTGTAGAATAACAAAAATGTATCCATCCAGGTTAGTTTTATGACTACTTTTATCCCCTACCAACATTGTCCCTTTAAAAACACCCTGGCATTTGGCTAAAAACATTGTTCTCTCTCTTCCTTCTATAGAAGCAGATTACTTTCTTCTGTCTCTGAGTAAGAAATAATGAGTGTCAGGGTGTGATTTCTTCTGCTGTCCTACTTTTCACATTACTGCTTTTTCTTCTCTTGCTTTTTTCCTTATTCTTACGTTGCTCAGTAAATCAGGTGACCTTGAGGAAGAGTTGAAAAATGTCACCAACAACTTGAAGTCACTGGAGGCCCAGGCCGAGAAGGTACAGTAGGAGTTGAGGGACGTTCAGCCTCAGGACTGGCCAGTCTGACTGTATATATAATGTCCATACTACTGTAAAATGTAGTCTTAGATATACTTTAACTACAAAAGTCGGGCGCCCAGTTAGTTCAGTTGGTAGAGCTGGCGACCCATGTACTGAGGCTGAGTCCTTGCTGCAGCGGCCCAGGGTTCGAATTAAATAGAATTAAAGCGGTCAAGGTGGTGAACAGGATCAAATGTTTAACTAGTAGATATCACCATGAAACTCCCCCAGCATTATTTTGTATTATTTGTTTTTATTATTATTTTATTATTTTTTATGTATTACATATTATGTTTATTATGCAAATGAGTTATTATTTACTTAAAAATTTGCTTTGCATACCATCCTATAGACATCTAAACATTGGATAAAGCCAGGTTCAAATGTTTGGTTAATATTGTTAAGTCTGTTCATCACTCCATAAATCACAATATACTGCCAGCAGCCATAAAAAAAAGCCATGTTTTTAGTGATAAAATGTGATGTAAATGAGGCTGTAAATAACAAAACCCTCTGTAAAAACCTTCACAATATAGATAGGAATAACACTGCAAGGTTTGGTGTATGTAAGTGCTACTGAAGTGGAGATTTCTTTCTTTTTTGTACAACATCAACCAAAATTTAAATTGACCAAAAGGTCTTTTCCAGTTGCCATCTTTGTTTGAAGTAAATCATCTTTTTTGTCATGGAGTGGACAGAATATAATTTATCCACATGGTTAGAGATAGTTTAGAATCCTGAAAATACAGTGAAACTGTGGTGTAAATGTATTAATTCATTTTTAAAAAAGTTAATTAACCCACTTACTTAAAAATATTAAAATAATTTCCCAATGTAATTGAGCAAAGATGTGTTTTTACATTTATGGAGTCTGTCTCCTTTCAGTAGTTGATACTCTATTTGTGAATGTGTTTTAATTGTGCTTTGTTAATACCTTTTTATGTTTTTATGTATGTTGATTTCAGTACTCACAAAAGGAGGACAAATACGAGGAAGAAATTAAAGTTCTTACTGATAAACTGAAAGAGGTAAGATGTTTTTCACCATTGTGTTACGCTGTTACTGTCTCCTCCATATGAACTAAATGAACAGAGAGACAGTATTAATACATTTGTGCTGTGCTTTGTGTCCCAGGCTGAGACCCGTGCAGAGTTTGCAGAGAGGTCTGTGGCCAAGCTGGAGAAAACCATTGATGATTTGGAAGGTATTCAACACTCACCTGCTGTCTCTGCCAGTACTTCCACTGACACCAGTAACATGTTTGCTTGCCATCCTGCAGTGAATGATGTTCAAACAGCTAAAGTAACAAACAGCTTCACTAATTCCATACCTGCTGTTGGAACAGAACGGCTGATTGGCTGCACAGTATTTACTGGTGAAGCCACTGATGATTGGAAGGACCAATCAGTTCTTACTCTGGTCATTTGGTTCAGTTTATTTGTCTGGTTATGTGACCTGAGAATTGACTTGTACTTACTGTGTAAATATACAGCAGTCACCAGTTCAACTTACCCAATGACAGAATTGTAATACTGAGATGAGAGTGTACGTACCCAGCATATTACTATCTTTCAGTGGCAATAGTGGCCTTAGTTTTAAAGCTAAAGTGAAGATACTGGTGAAAGTAGAAGAGTAGAAGCATCCATTGGTACCATGTCAACATGGCTTGTTAGGAAAGTACATTTTCCAATTTTGAGTAAATTTGGTGGTGGCTGTGGCTCAGAGGCAGAGCCGGTCGTCCACTAATTAGAAGGTTGTTGGTTCGATCCCCAGCTCCTCCCACCACATGTCGAAGTATCCTTGAGCAAGATACTGAACCCTAAATTGCTCCTGATGCTGTGCATCGCTGTGTGAATGTGTATGAATGAGTTAGTTTCTGTTCGATGGACTTTGCCATCACTGAGTGAATGTGTGTAAAAGGGTGAATGTGGCACGTAGTGTAAAAGCGCTTTGAGTGGTCGGAAGACTAGACAGACGCGATACAAGTACCATTTAAATGTTTGCTGATGGAAAAACTTGCATGGCTATTTTTAAAGTGATCGCTTGACCTCTGACCTCAAGATATCTAAATGAAAATGTGTTTTATTGGTACCCACGAAACATGAGACAGACAGGCCCACTTTATGCTAATAGCATGCAGATTTTGCATGCAGTATAAATGTACGTATTTGAGTATTTCTACATACTGTGGCCCATAAACAGCATGGGCATTGCATAAATTGGGCATGACTGGAAAGCTGAGACGTTTGTGGATTCAATGAGCACAATTGTATTGATGGGTGATGATGTCAGGTCTCATAGTAGCCTTGCCTTTATAGTGAGAGCTTTTTCTTTAATATAAAATGAGCTTCTGTGACTTCAGGATAATCACAGCCGCATGAAACTGTATAACCACAAACTAGGGACTGAGGATATCCAGAGGATTGATGGCTTTCTTAGATATATTGACACCACTGATGTATCATCATACTTTAGTTAAAAAAAACTATAGGCTAAGCTGACATTGAAAGGAAGTTGACATGAAAAAGTTCCCAATTGTGGAAAGGATATGCAAATATTATGTCTAGTAGAAGACCCCACATAATGCACTATACATGAATGCAGCTGTTTTTATACCACATTGGGTATTTGCATATGATCCATATGAAGTAAACATTGTTTAGGCCCATGTCTGTGAGGCTGTACATGGATGTTTTGTGAACATTAGCCCACCATTTATACACATGGACTGCACATGCCATCTGTACAGGTTTGATCAAACCAGCAGCTACATGAACAACTTTATTAGTATATTACATTTCAGAGAAAAATAAGAACTGAGAGAAGATTAAGAAAATAAAAAGCATAAAAACATTTAAAGTGCAGATAAACATCAGCTTCCAGATCCCTGGATCATCCAGCAAACACCCAAATGGCCAATAGCCAGCAGGGGGCATGTGTAAGCAGATTACACTACAATCATAATCTGTGTTTAGCCTGCGCCATTAGACTTTAGAAGATCATAAATATGAAAACAGCAGCTACAGTATTGTCATTTTTTAATTTACAGATGAATATTTTACATGCAAAACATATGATCAATTATAAAATATATGGCTGCAGATAAAACTACCCAACAGTAGGTTAAATAGTTCTGTCTGCATTAACAGTAAAATGCTTCTCACATGTTAATGTATCATTGATAAGAACACAAATATATAATAATATACTACTATGAGTGGTGCCTTTCTGTCTGCATGGGTAGTTTTGAACTATAATATGCTCCTCATACTTTTACTTGATTAAATTTTAACCTATAATTGAGTATACAATATACATTTTTTTTTTTTTTACTTTTGTTAAGTAAAAGTAAAGTCTGAATACTTCTTCCACTGTGTCAGCTCAGTTGACTTGGCAGTTGACAGTTGAAAAAAACACTCTGACACTCATTCTGCAGAATGAGTATGTGTGCTTTAGATACTTCTGTACTTTTACAAGCAGAAATTTGAATGTAGGACTGTACACTGTGTTATTGCTACGTTTACTCTGAATACTTGTTCACTTGTGCTACTGACTTTCTTGAGACATCCATTTCAGCAGATATGTGGACTTGGACTGGACTCACTGTCACTGTATTGGTGACTTGCAACTTGAATTGACAATAAAACATATGACTTCAGACTCGACTTGGAAGTTAAAGACTGTCTTTGTTCATTTTATGATTTTAATTTGAATCTTGAATATAAATCTGTGTCCGTAAGCAGGTATACGAGTGCACACTTGGAATGGCATCGTCATGATTGGACAAGCTGTTCTCTCCCAATCCCTGGCTGGCTAACGTTGATAATGTGTGGTATCACTAATTAACCCAGTCACCAGAATAAAACGTTGGCATTGTAACATTACGGTTCAACGTTTCGCATTTTTTAATTTTCACGCCTAATGTAACGCTGCAATAATTAGCTGTTATCAGTTGAATAAAAAACAAAAAACACTTTATTAGGGTTAGGAAATTTGTAGGGCTATACCCCACTAAAGATTTTCCTAGTTGACTAGTCATCGAACATTTATGATATTAATTTAATTATTTAATATATATATTTGAACAGCTGCCATCTCCCGGAAAATAATCACTCTTGTGGGGAAAAAAAGTGACTTGGCTTGGCTTATCCATGAAAAAATGACTTGGACCAAGTCTTCGTGTCAGAGACTTATGAAAGCACAAGCTGTACATGGGTGTTTCCAGGTGCGGACTTCTAACATGACTTCCAATGGTTTACCTAAGTGCACCAATAATTCATAAATCTCTGGCATGTGTTGTATATGGTGGTGTTGAGTGCAGTATTCCTTGATAACACTGCATGATGTGTTCATTGTGTGTGTATCTGAACCCAGTCTATAGCTTCAAGTTGAAACTTTGTTGCTTAGTCATGTTTGGTGAGCTGTAGCAACTAGCTGATGTGGTGACACTAACACCAGTGATTCTTGGTCATTCAGTTTGAGGGTTGCCGGTTTCAGTGATGTTTCCATTTTCTCTTTGTTGTACTTTTCGGTGTCACCTCACTCCATTTCCATTCTATGCTTTGTCCCTCGTCTCTCTCACTGTGTGTGTGTGTGTCCTCCTCCAGATGAAGTGTATGCTCAGAAGCTGAAGGGCAAGGCTCTCAGTGAGGAGCTGGACCTGGCCCTCAACGACATGACTACACTGTAGCTGCTCTCTCACTTCCTGTCTGCTGCTCCTTCCTGTCTGAACTGTCTCCGCCTGCTTGCTGTTGTTTTGTTTCATTCCACAGTGGTATCAGGGGCTAGAAGAATCCACCCACCCCTCGGTAAGCTGTGTTACACAGCACCGGCCTTTTTACAGAAGGTTAAGTTACAGCTCACTCAGTCACTGTTGTGTGTCTGCTCGTTCACTGAGTTAATATCCTCTCTTTATTTAAGTATTCATGTAAACCTGCTTCCCCCTCCCCCTCTGTAATAAATGTATTAAAGCTCTCTTGACTTTCTGTCTCCTTCTAGTCTTGCCTTCTTTCTCTTCAGTTTACTTCCTCTATTCAACATTCATAAGCAGTGAATGAATAATAAATAATTGCTTTTTAGCACATATGTAGTTGAAAATAAGGAAGTTTGAAGGTTTTCATGCCTTTGTAACCTCTCCTTTTGAAGTATCTATAACTGCATTTAATGTAATTTTTTTAAATACAAGGTTGACAACATATATAGGTCAATTATTGTCACTCTCAAGGATATATTTCAGTTGGCCCTTGTCCCTTCTAAAGCACCACTAGGGCCCCAAGGCCCTGCAGCACGCGTCCAGTATACTCGACGCAGGCCTCTCTGTGCTTAAAGCGTGAGCTGACTACTAGAGCCCCCAGCCCCCCCACCCCCCACCCCCCCACGATTCAATACCAAAATCAAAACAATAAATCCCATGTACTTCAAACACTCCTTTTATTATAAAACATTTGAACTTTACACAACATAACAGTGGTCCTTTTTCTAATAGATTGTCTTCTTATTGTTCACTGCTTATCTCACAAACTATAATCTGTTCACCATGCTGTTCCCTTCAGCACTCTGGTCTGTGTGTCTCTCTCACACACACACACACAGCTTGCCCCACCCCACCTCTTTCTGTTTCTCTAGCTCCCTGAGTCTGTGTCTCTTTTAACTTCAGCAGTAAGTTTTATAAAGTCACTCACAAAGCACAACTCGTGGTTGGAATTTTTTCATACGCATTTCTGTTTTCACGACAGCAGGTTAGGTGTAGAGGAGGCTCCTTTTTACTGCCCTATCAAAATTATTGAAACACAGGAGGTGTAATTCACATTACTTTTATACAGAAAGCGGAGCATTTAACACAAGTGCAGATATATCAGTTTCTGTTATGATGGCTCATTCACTGTGTGAGACCATGTGGACGTACAGAATGGTGGACCCTGTGGCACATGTTAATGACACACCAGGTAGGTGAACTGGTGTTGACTAAAGAATGGAAGCAAAGAGACCATATCTCACATCATCTTAATAAGAAACTGTCCAGTACTTAAGTACTTTAGTGCTAATTAGCAAAATAGAACATTTAGATAAACATGGTAAACATTATACCTGCTCTGCTATTGTTAGAATGACAATTTCTAACAAGAAAGTGGACTGAATCAACTGAAAAAAATTGGGTAACACTATAGTTCATAATTTCCTTAGTGACATCTAGCAGTGTAGTTACAGACGGCAACTCCCTCGCTTCACCCTCCTTTTCCAAACATGAAGGATAAACTACGGTGACCATTAAGTGCCAGTGTTTGGTTTGTCGCTTCTGGGCTAGGCTGGCTAGGTGAGCTATCTGGGCGCCTCATAAAAGTCTCATTCCAAAAAAAAAAAAAAAAAACCCATCACTTCCTATATTCAGATGATTATATAGTAATGAAAACATATTTACGATTATTGTAGTCAATTCCTGCCAATAGATCCTCCTAAATGTTACACGCTGGAGCTTTAACTACGGACTGTATATAATCTGGTACTTATTATAGGCTATTATATTCTCAGTGTAATTCAGCCTATACTTATAGTTAGTGCACAGCAAGTGAGCTGAACATGCAGGTAAACAGACAGCTCAAATTATATGGAGAATAAAGGTTCTGAATACTCTGTGTTGGACTGTTTGTCAAAACAAGTGATTTAAAGACGTTATCTTCGGCTTTATGTCTGACTTCTTAGCAAGCCATTTTATGGTAAAACAACAATGCACACACTGTGCATAAATACTCTGTAGAACAAGAGGGCTTCTGTATCTCCAGTTACAGACAGAACATTTTTTGGAAGCTCACTTGTGACTTTGGTTCCTCCTCCAGAGAAACTGGCCCAAGCCAAAGAAGAGAACTTGGACATGCACCAGGTGTTGGACCAAACCCTTTTGGAGCTCAACAATCTATAGAGACCTCTTCAGAGCTACATGAAGAACAACGGATAGAGCAAGACAAAAAAAAAGGTTTAATCTCCCGCCGAAACTCCCAGCATAAACCCTTACAAATGGAATCTTAATGTAGTATCAACAGTTGTAAATGTGAGGATTGGTTCAGATGTAAATCTATAGTGCCCCTGAAATGACATGAGCAAGAACTCGTTTCAGATTCATAACAAAAGTAATTTTGTGTGCACTAGAAACTTTGTAGTTCATCAGAAATGATCCTGTCGTCAATAAAAAGTTTCTTGCATGCACATGTAACTATCCTGTATGCACCAGAAAGCAGAGATGGGGGCTTGAGACATTGTGACAGTGACTTGAGTCAACTCAAGTCACTGTTTTGATGGTTTGCAACTTGACTTGACAGAATATAAATGACTTGAGACTCGACTTGAACGTTGAATAGTTGTGACTTGACTTGAGACATGATGACTCAGATGACTTTTTAGCTTTCATTTTATGTTTTCAGTTTAAATATTAAATATAAAAAAATGTTTAATGATCTGGGACTCAATTGAGACTTGGACCAAATGACCTCAGACTCGATTGAGACCTCGACCAGATCACGTGAGTCACACTCCTATCAATTTTTCAATTCAATTCAATTCAATTTTATTTGTATAGCGCCAATTCATAACAGACGTTATCTCAGGACACTTTTCAAATAGAGCAGGTCTAGACCAAACTCCTTATAACATTTACAGAGACCCAACAGTACCACCATGAGCAAGCACTTGGCGACAGTTTATCAAGAGTAATTGTTCTACAAGAAAGGTTTCTCTTGTTTGACCAAACATGATGAAGCTTTTCACATTGCATATATTCTTAAATGTAACAGAGCCCATGCACTATGTATCTTTTTAAAACTAATGATATACTGAAACTCATGCAAGATAGTTGCTACTTGCACACAAGAAACCTTTCTCCTTCACACAGCATAGTTTCTAGTATGCACTGTTTTTTTTCCTTGGTTGATAGTGTGATACATGAATTTCCAAGATGTGTTCCAAGAAGACTGTCCTCCGAAGAAAAACAATAACATTAGTTGTTCAAATGGCTCTATGTTAAAGTCTCACTGAAATGGACTGTGTGAATGAATGTGGGGAGGAAATGATGTCTGTTTCAGATCAAAACACTCATTTTAGAAAGCAAACATTTTGTCTTTTAATTTGAGGGACTTCAAAATGTCTGTTTACTTTCTAGGGTAACATTCAAGTTTTTGTAGTAAAATTAACCATTTATTGGCTACATTATTATTAGTGTTATTTTTAGGTTATAAAATTATGACACCTCATTATTTTGAGTTACATTTTAGAAAGATGAATGATTTGAACAATTTGACAAACTAGCAGACAAGAGTGTGGCTGATATTTGATGTTACAGATTTAATTGAAGTGCTGGGAGCTGTAATACTGACCTTAATTCTGAATAAAGGTTTTATATATTGTAAACAAAAATGCTTTCTTCAAATAATATAGTTCCAAGATGTCTTCAATGAAGTTACTTTTTACAATGAGGTTTTTAAAAAAGTCATAGTTGATTAAAACATGCATACAACATCTGTCTTCTGGAAGCAAGTGACATTATTTCATTGTAAAGCTTGAGTGAATCTCTTTGGATAAATGACAAATTCCAGTGAATTAGAGCTAGATTTGTGATTCACACCCTTCCATATTTAGGTTCAGGGATCTGACCAATTACATTCCTTAGTGTTTATGCTGCCACTGCATAAGTGTGTATATGAGTAGTAAACTATAAATTCAGATTTAGTATATCAGGATAAATTACCAGGGTCACAAAACATACACTGACAATAATTTGAAGCAAGAATATGAAGCACATCATAAACACACAAGAATGAAACAACTCAAAAAGAGACTGCAAAGTTACAATCCAAGGATCGCAAATAAGTGCCAAATTAAAAAAACCAGACTATAAGGAGACAGTCCATGAAAGCAGTATTGAAAACACATGTGCTTTGTTTTAAGAGAATAAAGAAGAAGTAGAAGAGGGCAAGTATTTGAAGGTAAAATATTCCAGTTAGGAGACAAAGGGAACCATAAAGAGGAACTGATACCAAATTGTTGTTTTGTATCAAAAGGGAGCCATCTGAGTGTAATCAAGCATCAAACAATCCTGTGTAAAAAAAAAAAAAAAACATTCTGGGTCACCCGGAAATCTCATCTGGGGGAGCTGGCGCCCATATGCCAGGGCTGGGTCCTTGCTGCAGCGGGTTGGACTGACTCATGGCCCTCTGTTGTGTGTTGTCCCACTCTCTCTTCCCCCTTTCCTGACACTCTTCAGCTGTAACTATCGATTAAAGGCAATAAAAGCCCCCAAATAAATACATTTTAAAAAAACACTGTCGAACTGGTGTTCAAAAAAACAGCAAAGGTTGGATTCCCTTAAAGACATACTCAAAAATACCCTATAGTGTGCCTTCTAAGGTGATAATCCTAACCCTGACTATGCTGTTTCACCATAAATGCATCACAACTTTCTGCGCCACTAAAAAAGACTAGATGAAATTAAAAAAGGAAAAGGGTTGGTTTAGAGGCATTTTGATAAACAATGTGAGCACTGTCCTGTGGCTGCCTCAGCTCTGGTGGTCTGCATTTGGGTCATTTCTTGTGTTGCCATCCACTCCTTCATTTGTGAAGCAAGTCTCTCTCTGAGAATAAATGCAAAACAATGTCTGGAACAATAAAGAAATCCAATGACGAATTGCACTTTGTTTATAATATTATAGTAAAAACAAATGACAAACCAGTTGGTCAACAGAATATATCAGCAAACAAACTAAACAAGGAGCAAAACAGCAGTAGTCAATCACCTCTAGTATGAGGCGCTAACATACAGGACCGGTTCAACAGGTGGGAAAGGCAACAATGGACCAGCGGGGCAAAACTGGAGCACCAAACAACCACAGCAGACAGGATAAGAGCCAAAAGGAGAGAGCATCAGCCAGCAGGTGGCTCAGAGGAAGAGTGGGTCATCCACTAATTGGAAGGTTGTGGTTCGATCCCTGGCTCCTCCCACCACATGTCAAAGTATCCTTGAGCAAGATACTGAACCCCGAATTGCTCCTGAGGCTGTGCATCGGTGTGTGAATGTGTATGAATGAGTTAGTTTCTGTTTGATGGACTTTGCCATCACTGTGTGAATGTGTGTGAAAGGGTGAATGCAGCACGTAGTGTAAAAGCGCTTTGAGTGGTCGGAAGACTAAAAAGGTGCTATACAAGTACAGGTCCATTTACCATCCATTTACCATTTATATAACCTGACCTGATGAGAAGGTTGGCTGGGGAGGAGTCAGGAACGGGGCTGCATTCACAGACACGAGTGAGACTTATCCTCCTACACTAGGGGAGCATTCTCCACCACACTTGCTTGGTTGGCTCATGCTGTATGTAGCCTATTGAAGTTAACAATCTAAAGATAAAGCAGTGATGGAAAATACTCTCAGTGAGGAACTTAAAATGCCAATAAGAGATAGGGTAGGGGTATTCTCTTCTTGGAATAAACAATGCCATTTTGGTTCAAGGTCAGCATGTTTAATGGTCAAAGTTGGAGGGCTGCTACTGCAGCGACCACAGGTTCAAGTCAGACCTATGGCCCTTTGCTGCATGTCATCCCCTCTTTCTCCCCCATTTCATGTAGACTATATCTACAGCTGTCCTATAAAGTTAAGGCAAAAATATATTTTTAAAAGTTATAAAACACTACAACATGGATGTAATGATAACAATATCGATGCCAAAAAAAAAAAAGGGATTTGGAAACAAATATTATAATAATGAATGAAAAATGGGAGGAAACTTTAAAAGCACGACATGAACTAACAATCCATCATGGAGGGAATTTGATTGGAAGGTGAAAATGAACCCCCATCTATCATGCTGTAACCAATGCAAATGTTTTCATTTGTAAAGCTTTCCTGCTGGTGCTGATGTAAAGTCCATTCTCAGTCTATGCATCTACATCACACTGCAGAAGTTGCATACTGGACCAGGGTTGATTTCCAAAATATTTGTGAGGTCACAAATCATGCTTGTAGTCCCCACCTTTAAGCAGATAAATGTGAAAACATTCACAAACTCTGTACATACATGATTCTGCACACTGTAAAGTAACATCACACTATAGTAGCAAGAATAAAAACACATCTTTGACTGGAATTTGTGATGACAACTTCTGAACTTATTTTTTATTTCAAAAGCCTAATGAGCAAAACACATTTAACTACAGTGCAGCAGTTCAGATGAATAATCTGAACACAAAATTGTAATTGAGTATTTCACAGAGCAGGGTTAAACTTGCCTTAAAGTAATAGTTAAGTGCCATGTACCATATTAAATCATTTTGAACTTTTACACAGCATGTTGACAGAGTGTGTGTTTTGTTCTTGTTATTGTTTATAAGTTTTATTGAACAAACATTTTTGGACTACAATAAATTATGTTCCATAATCCAGGTTTAGGACAAAACTATAAAGACATAAAATAAAATACAAAAAGAAACAAAACACAAGAGGTCAATTTAAGCAGGCATAATATGAGAGTTTACATGAGTTAATAGTTTCAGTTAATCTTTGTTAGGTTTTTTAATTATAATATAATAATTTTAGGATTATGATTAAATGAGGAAAAGTCCAAAACATTAAACCCTCCCTCTGTTAGAGTCATGGACATCACTTACATCACTTACCGTCTCAACAAGAGGTTTGGTGTTTTATGTGTTGTCTTGTTTTGGAAAGTCAATGCCAAGAGGTTCACGAACCTTTACGAGCAAGCGCTTTCTTGTGAACATGAGGGCGGAGACATACTGGAAAACAACAGTGAGGTACGCGCATGTAACGCCAGAAATCTCCGATTTGTCTCACATGTTTGACAGGCAGTTTCTCTGACAAATCAACAAACAGTATGTTTTCGCTGAGCATTTAAGAAGATCCTTAAACTGTCAGTGGTGGGGTAAATGCTCACTAAAAAAGACGTGGGTCCATCCATATGGTGTGAGATCGTGTAGATATCGCGCAGCAAGGCAAAATATTGCGACACAACTTTCCCTTGACGGGAAGTGGGTGGTCCAACTCCAGAATCACTCGCAAGTACGTGACAAAAATAATAGCCATCATTTCTTTAACTTGTTTGGTCATTGTTAGGTTTAGCCATACAGAAAGAATGGAATTGATCTAACGAACATTACACAGGAACCAAAATTGACGCCAGTTAACGTTAGGTAAGTTAAGTAACGTTAATCACCCTTGCTTTTGAAGGCGGAAACAATATGGCGTTAGCAGCGATGCCAATGTGAACTCTCAATGCTAACCTAGCTAAATATTTAATTCTGAGAACTGTGACTACTATTTAACGGTATATTGTTAGCCATACGCTAACATTTGCTTTTTGTCTAACAACTTACATTAGTCAATGTTAACTAACGTTAACACATTCTTATCTAGCTAGCGTTAATTATCTTAAGGATGGTAAAGTGAGGTAACGCCATCATAGTTCGTAAGGTTGTATCTATAATGCATAATCATAACGTTACTATCTATAAGAACCTTTTCTGACATTATGGTCTTTTCTATGTTCCTAGCGAGTTGTCATCATGGTGTCTGCGAAAGAGGTCCAGCTGTTGGTGTTATCTTGCCTCATCTTTGCTCTACCCTCTACAGGAGGTCAGTACCATTTTACATATTAACGTCTGGCAGTATTGGGAACTTAAGTAACGTTATTCTCTTTCAGTTGACATATAAACACCAAATCTTCATGTAACTGCAGAGTTTCCCACTGTTATTTGGACATGATGTGACAGCAGGAAAACTCGGGTGGAACTAATAGCGTTAATAGCGTTAATAGTGGCTGGAGGATGGGAAATAAGCACCAGCCAAATACTGTTAATATATGAAAGTATGTGGGGCTGTAACATTATAAATTCTAATTTTGGTCGTGTCATAGGATATCACTTTGTTTGTCTTTTGCATGACTGGGCCTTTTATATAGGTTTATTGTGGTTTATTCAACTATAAGGAGCACACAGAATATAAAAACATTTGAATGTAATCATGTATATACTGAAAGCTTTAATTACTAAAGGGATATTCTTGGCCTCACAAAATGATACAGTATATGAAGGAATCAGAATGTAATTTTTTTTATTGTGCAAACTGCAACGTAATATAAACAGAACATAAAAATAAAAACGATATGCCAAGAACTTCAACACTGTCTATTCTAGCCCCATAAAAGTGGCTGGTAGATGTTGGACACAAAATAATGATTTGCTATTGAGTGGCTGGTGAATTTGAACATTTAGCTGTCAGTGGCTGGTAGATGTTCCCATTTTAAAAAGTGAATTTCCCAACCTATGCTTCAAGGGCAATTACTTTGTGGCATTGTGTATGCTGGCAACATTACATTTATATAGCTCAGTGTTTCTCAAATGGGGGTACTTCTGCAGATGGTACTTGACATTTGTTTTTAAATGTCAGTCATGCATAATTTCTAAAATAATTATACTGTAAGTTCATAAAATTAATGTAAATATATGTTTGATAAACCAGATTTTGTATTCAAAATTGACTGTCGATATTCCAATCATTAACTGCTGTAAACCATCAACTGCAGTTTGATCAGCTGTAAAGTGCAGTTTCCTCCTGCCACTGAGAATCTCAGCGAAGCACAAGCTAATGTTTCTCACTATTTACTATTAATTGTAAGTGCAATTTATCTAATAAAAACATTCAGTGCAACTAGAATGCCGTCTTAATGTTACTGCATGATGACAAAAAATTGGTTTACATGAATGTATTGATGGATTCTTTAACATTTTAAATTAAGCATTTAAGTGTGTTTCTTAATAAATCAGACACTGATTGCCCAGCGGTGTATTGTACATCCTATATAGGCATTTTTATTCCACCAAAAATGTTTTACAGAGGGCAGGGCAAAAAATATTTCAAAGATTTGAGAACTGATTTAATGGACGCTTGTTCACAATGTGACTTACAATAAATGCAGTTAATCTTGTGGATACAAGTAATGTGAGTACATCAACTTCATCAAATAAGCTGAACTGCTTCAAGTGCTACAATTGGGCCAAGATGCAGTCTGAACAGGTGAGTTTTCCGTCTGTGACGAAAGATGTGAGTTCCCGCACTCCTGATGTCAGTGGGGAGCCGGGACAGCAAACAGTTTGGATTTTCTTAATTTAGTGCTAGTCGGTATGACTCAAGATTTGTATCCCATTATTTTTTAACATTGTGATGGTTTCATTGTATGATTTATTTTGAATAACTAAGCCTTAACATAGGTTTATAGTGGCTTATTCTACTGTCAGGAGTACATAGATTATAAAAACATTTTAATTAACATTTACATTGTTAGGTCATTCACATTACAATTAATGATAACAATATAATGTCATAATGTATCTACTGAAGGTGTTGATTACTAAAGGGTTTTATTGTGCAAACTGCAATGTAGTTAAAACAAAACCTAAAAATAGAAAAGATATGCAAACCAACATTGCTTCCTTTTCAAAACAAAATATTAAAGCATTGCACAAGATGAGTGAGAAGAGTTGTTTCAGCTATGCAACAGTATTGTGGTATATGTACAATTCATATCATATAGGAAATTAAAACCAGTATACTGGCTGGGGTATATGGTTTGATCATCTCCTGGATGTGGGAGGAGACTGAGCCATTCAAGTATCATTGTCTTGAATTGGAATTTGAGTGAAGGTGTGGAGGAGTGGTGGAGGATTCTATCTGCAGAGGTTGGATGGCATCAGCCAAAAGCGAGTTGGTGCAGTCTAGGTGCAGGGTGACAAGAGCCTGGACAAGTACCTGCCTACCTTCTGGGTGAGGATCAGATTATCCTCCTGATGGTGTGGGGCATGAGTCTGTAGGAGCAGGTGGTCACAAAAATGTTGGCAGCGAAGGACAGCTGGTCATCCAGTGTCACACCCAAGGTCCTTGCAGTCCAAGCCGGGGACACAACAGAGTTCTCAATGTTAATGGAGAGGATATGGACGGAAGATGCCTTCCCTGAAAGGAGGAGCAGCTTGGTCTTGTTGAGCCCCCCCCCGAGGTTGAATCAAAAAGGACACTGTAATGAACTGCTTGTTGTGGGCTGTTTTGTGTCTGTACCACCTTGAAGGTCTGAGTCAAATGTTGGATCAAAAAGTGGAATACAGTCACATCTTATCAAACTTGCCAGCTGATATACCTCTTACTTTTTGGGTTATTGCTTAGGCTGTGTGTTATTTGCTAGCTCAGCAGTCACAGCAGCATGTTGATTCGGAAAATTTAATTACATTGTTTTGGTGGTTTTCAGAAAATGGCAGCCATTTGGTGATATCCCCAGATTCCCCACAATCTCCAGTGCTAGAGATCGGGACTGACTTTGCAGCTACATGTATGATCACCAACACAGATGAAGTTACAGCAGATGACCTCTACTGGACATTATCTGGAACTGTTGTACCCAAAGAACAGTACACCAGGATCAACAAAACGGCTCTCAGTGTCACTGTCCCCATCACCAGTGAAAAACGGGAATGGTTATTGTGCCGCTGCAAGAATGTGTCAGCCTATGTTGTCCTGAACAAAGGCAGATTTATGCACGGGATCTTCCTTACGAAAGGCTGTAAGTTTTTGTTATCAGAACCTAAAACCCATTGCTGAATTTGATTATTTGTTCATTATTTCTATTAGTTGTGTCTGCTGTAAATATCCTTGCAGACCTACATCCTGTTTTAAATTTGACCTACTGATGTTGTGGGTACAGATTGTTATCAAATATTTAAATACAGGAAAAACATTTGATGAGAAATTCCACCCTCATACTTGTCTCTCATATCTTTAAATGTCTGATAAAAGGGTAGTTTTGTATTAAAAAAATAATCTTAAAAAATAATGTTTAAAAGATGTCTGTGTGTTGTTTGTCCCAATGGCAGATCGTCCTGGGAAACCCGAGAATCTGTCCTGCATAGCAGTTCAAGAGGAAAGGTACATCTCTCCAAACATCACGTGTGTGTGGGAAGCTGCAGGACGTCAAACAGGATTTGTCCCTACAACATACACACTGAATGTTAGATCCAACATGTGAGTACACAGCTATTTTAGCATCATAGCACAGTTTCATCTCTGTTTTGGTACATTTTATGGTGGAACCAAGCTGGCTCTTAAAGGAGTTGAAAGAATGAACAATTGTCAAAAACACTTAGACATTAAACGTAATGTTGGAGCTAAGGCACTTTTCTGTTGAAGTCACACTGAAAATCTAACTAGATAAGACATTATTATTATTATTAGGGACCGAGCACGAACAAGTGCAAGGCCCTATTGTAACCCTTGGAAATATTATTAGGGATCGAGCACTGACAAGTGCAAGACCCTATTGTTCCTGTTAGAATTTTTAGGGATCGAGCACTGACCAGTGCAAGACCTTATTGTTCCTTAAGGAATTATTAGGGATCGAGCACTGAAAGTGCAAGACCCTATTGTTCCTTAAGGAATTATTAGGGATCGAGCACTGACCAGTGCAAGACCCTATTGTTCCTCTAGGAATTATTTTTAGGGACCGAGCCAGCGACCGGCAAGGTCCCTATTGTATTTGCTATGTTTCTTATTATTTTTAGCGCCTTTGACTGCGATTTTGCCCCCCTGAACATATATACGAAAAGTCAATTTTATTTGGCAAAATGGTCAGGCCTGGTAAAAAATTTGATATTCTATGTGTCGCTTTCGGGTTGGCCACTAGGTGGCGCTACTATCATAAAAAATGCGTTTAGGCTAATAACTTCTGCATAGTTTGTCGCACATTCAAAAACCTTGTATCCAAGCGTTCGGTGAATAGAGCTGAATCTTACAATGTAAGCCCCGCCCACTTTCGCCTAGACATTTTTTTTTCTAGAGCACGAAATGTTCGTAAATTACTTTTTTGTGTTCCTGCCATGCGCTTTGTCCGATGCGCACAAAATTTTTCACATGGCATCTGAGGACCCTCATAAAAAAAAGTAATTCAAAGAATTTTGATATTTCAAAAAAACAGCACGTTATAAAATTAGCACTTCCTGTGGATTTTTTGTCAAAAAAGGAAGTGGACCATTTCTCCACATTGGTATGTCCAATTGACACCAAACTTGGGTGCATAGTTCCAGATGTCTTCCTTAAGCATCGTGCACAATTTCAGGCCATCACCACTAGGTAGCGCTCTTAAAAATGAAGAAGTTTATATCTCTACAACGGTATGTGTGATTAAGATCAAACTTGGTACGATGCTTCCCCATGGCTCCCTGAGGCTCACTTAAAAAGGACAAAAAAAATACACCACTAGGTGGCGCTTTTTTGGCATGAAAAATCACTGTGCGAAGACCGTAATAGTTATTAATATGAAATTCACAGGGCACGTGTACAGTAGTGCCTGAAGCTCACATACCAAAAATAGTGTTATCCCTACAGGATAAAAAAAACAGCAGCCCCGGCGCCACGTTTCACCGATATGTACGAAGCTCGGTAGGCACATGTAACATACATGATGTACAAAAAAGCCTCTTGGACCCATACCCGAAACCCCACAGGAAGTCGGCCATTTTGATTTAAAGTTTCACTTTCGGCGAACTTTTCGCGTTGTATTTGAACGAACTCCTCCTAGGGAATTTATCGCATATGCTTCAAAATTTGTGAGTACACTCAAAAAATGGTCCTGATTAAAAGTTGTCCTATTTGTGCATGTACGTTGAAGGGCGAGTCCGTGGCGTGGCATCAAAGTCAGCCATTTAGATTTTTTTGGTCATTTTCTGTAATTTTTCGCGTTGTATTTGAACGAACTCCTCCTAGGGAATTTATCGGATCTACTTCAAATTTAATCAGCGCAATCTAAAGACATTCATGATTAAAAGTTGTGCTATTTACGACATTCCGTGAAACGACGTGTCCGTGGCTTGGCATCAAAGTCAGCCATTTTGCATTCCGTGCTAATTTTCTGTGATTTTTCGCCTTGTATTTGAACGAACTCCTCCTAGGGAATTTATCGGATCTACTTCAAATTTAAACGCCAAGACACGTAAGGCCGACATGTACGAAAATTGGTACGCATGTGTATGATGATAAAAGAAGCAGAAAAGTCTCAAGGACCCATACCTCAAACCCAACAGGAAGTCGGCCATTTTGGATTTTGTGGCCATTTTTGGCGATTTACACACGCTGTATTTGGACAAACTCCTCCTAGGGCATTTATTGGACCGACTTCAGATTTGGACACAGCCATCCAAACACATTCACCATTAAAAGTTGTGCTCCTCAGTTTGTTTCATCCAACATTGTGCCCGTGGCGTGGCGTCCCGTGGCATCCAATTTCAAACCTTCGCCATGAAAGAGGGCTTCTTCATAACTTCTGCGTACATGATCCGATCTCAATGAAACTTCACATGTTTGATAAGAGTCCCGCCCTGAACACGTCTATGTGATAATATTCAGTAAAAGTGAGAGCTCACCTAGTGGTGAAAGGAAATGTCATTTTTTTATACTTTCATGTTCTACTCCTAGTAGGATGATCAGATCAAGCTGAAATCTAGTCAAGAAATGCAAAACATGTTGTTGATGATATTTTTCTTGCTATAACTTGAGTGTACATAGTCCAATCGGCTCCAAACTTCACTTGCCTGATAAGAGTCCCACCTTGAACACTTCTATGTGATAATATTCAGTAATAGTGAGAGCGCCACCTAGTGGTGAAAGGAAATGTATTTTTTGTACTTTTATTTATATCTTAAAGCATATTGACCAGATCCAGCTGAAATTATGTGAGAAGTTCCTTAGGAGGATGAGGATCACATATTATGAATCTTAAGAATTTGCATGGAACCATGTTGCCATGGCGATGCGGCAAAAAAAAAAAAAAATCACACTTTTGGGGGGACTAAACATGCCTGAAAACTTTGCACAGAATTCGGTGGTGGCGAACACCGAGGTGTTGTCTTGGTCCCGTGGATGGGCGTCGCAACATGGCTTAGCCACGCCCCCCAGAGTCAGCCCCCAAGACACGTATGACTGACATGTATGAAAATTGCTACGCATGTGTATCATGATAAAAGAAGCAAAAAAGTCTCTTGGACCCATACCTCAAACCCAACAGGAAGTCGGCCATTTTGGATTTTGTCGCGATTTGCACTCCTCCTTAGGGAATTTATTGGACCGACTTCAGATTTGGACACAGCCATCTAAACACATTCACCATTAAAAGTTGTGCTCTTCAGTTTTTTTCGTCAAACTTCCTGCCCGTGGTGTGGTGTCCCGTGGCATCCAATTTCGATCCTACGCCATAAAAAGAGGGATTTGTCATAACTTCTGCATACATGATCCGACTGCAACGAAACTTCACATGTCTGATAAGAGTCCCGCCCTGAGCACATAGTGATAGCGCCACCTAGTGGCAACAGGAAGTAAGTGTTGCGTGGCGATTTTGAGCTGACGCGCGCCGGGTGCAAGATCCCGTTCAGCGCTGCTTGCAGCTTTAATTATTATTATTATTATTATTATTATTAACAGTTCCATAACCTAACCCTAATTGATGTTTAGACATCAGACCAGAAACATGTCATCATGCTCAAGGCCAAGCCCTTTTTTGGGGGAAAGAATAGAACTTTCACACATGTTAACATGAGAAACAGCAGTGAAACTAGGAACAAGTTTACCAATAACCAAAGCTTTCAGTGTGTGATTTAAGGCAGATAAGGTACATGGAACATACATTTTCACTCTGTGTGGTAAATAGCTGAAAGATGCTTACAGTTACTACTGACGGATAGCTTAAGTTAGCTTGTCAATTGCTAACAGCAATGTAGCAGCAGCAGAAAGCTAAATGTGACTGTTGTCTCTGTGTTTCTCTGTGCTCACTGAAAATCACAAATTGTTTGGAAGACATCCTTGTCCAGTACAAGTGTCTACAAGGGTGATGTAGAAATCTGAATCCTTCAATTCAATTCAATTCTATTCAGTTTTATTTGTATTGCGCCAATTCATAACAGAAGTTATCTCAGGACACTTTTCAAATAGAGCAGGTCTAGACTGAACTCCTTATAACATTTACAGAGACCCAACAGTACCACCATGAGCAAGCACTTAGCGACGGGGGCAAGAAAAAAAACAACTGCCTTTTAAGAGGCAGAAACCTAGGACAGATCCTTCGGCTCTAGGTGGGTGGTTGTCTGCCTCGACCAGTTGGGGGGTGTGTGTGTGTGTGTGTGAGAGAGAGAGAGAGAGAGAGAGAGACACAGCAACAACAACTACACTAATAGTAGTGATTGATGAAGAAGACAGCAACGATGGGGGACAACGAGCAGCGACAACAGCAACAACAGTAACCGTAGCAATTATAATAATAATTAAGCTATCACTATGTCTGAATATTGTCATGTACACGTGTTCGGGGGGGGACTGTTATCAAGTGTGGAGCCGATTGGAGAATGTACACTCAAGTTATAGCGAATTCGTGTTTTGTGGCGGTCCATCAAAATTTCCCGCCACCCCACAGACACGCCCCCTCACCACAGTCAACACATATCATCAACAATGTGTTTTGCATTTTATAAGTAAATTTCAGCTGGATCTGATCATCCTGCGAGGAGTAGAACATGAAAGTATAAAACGTGATACTTCCTGTTACCAGTATGTGGCGCTATCACTATGTCTGAATATTGTCATGTAGACGTGTTCAGGGTGGGACTGTACACTGAAGATATGAGTACTATCTGTTTGATGGCCAATCGGTGGAATTCGACACGTCGTCACGGGCACACAGTTAAACATACAGTCACAAATAGCACAACTTTTGATAACCAATGTGTGTAGACTGAAGTGATCAAATTTGAAGTCAATCTGATAAAATCTGTAGGAGGAGTTAGTTAAAACAGAAGCCCTTAAATGCCGGAAATAGCATCACAGTTTGACATTCGATTCAACCTGGCCAACTTTGAGGGAAAGCCATGGACACGCCCTTTAACGTACAGTCACAAATAGCACAACTTTTAATCAGCACCATTTTTTGACTGTACTGACCAATTTTGAAGCAGATCCGATAAATTCCCTGGGAGGAGTTTGTTCAAATACAACGCGAAAAGTTAGCCGAAAATCAAAATCAAAATGGCCGACTTCCTGTGGGGTTTCAGGTATGGGTCCAAGGGGCTTTTTTGTACGTCCCGGCATGTTACACGTGCCTACCGAGTTTCGTACATATCGGTGAAACGTGGCGCCGGGGCTGCTGTTTTTTTATCCTGTAGGGGGCGCTACAAACACATGATTTTTGGTATGTGAGCTTCAGGCACCACTCTACACGAATTTCATATTCAATTCAATTCAATTCAATTTTATTTGTATAGCGCCAATTCATAACAGAAGTTATCTCAGGACACTTTTCAAATAGAGCAGGTCTAGACCGAACTCTTTAACATTAATTACAGAGACCCAACAGTACCACCATGAGCAAGCACTTGGCGACAAGGGCAAGGAAAAACTGCCTGTTAAAAGGCAGAAACCTAGGACAGATCCTCCGGCTCTAGGTGGGTGGTCGTCTGTCTCGACCAGTTGGGGTGAGAGAGAGAGAGAGAGAGAGAGAGAGCGACAGACAGACAGACAGGTGCACAGCAACAACAGTATTGGCAATGGCAGTCAAGCAGGACCATGGCAGGAGGCTCCACCAGGATCCATGAGAACCTGCGAGACGAGAAAGCACAAGAACTCCGGGGAAGAAGTGGAGTTAGTAACATGCATTAAAGGGACATGAATGAGTGCAGAAAGAGAGAGGAAGAGAGTAGCTCAGTGCACCATGGGAAATCCCCCGATAGTCTAGGCCTATAGCAGCATAACTAAGGGATGGTTCAGGACTCACCTGATCCAGCCCTAACTATAAGCTTTATCAAAGAGGAATGTCTTAAGCCTACTCTTGAATGTGGTGAGGGTGTCTGCCTCCCGAACCACAACTGGAAGCTGGTTCCACAGGAGAGGAGCTTGGTAACTGAAGGCTCTGGCTCCTGTTCTACTTTTAGAGACTATAGGAACCACAAGTAGCCCAGCATTCAGAGAACGTAGTGTTCTAGTGGGGTAATAGGGTACTATGAGCTCTTTAAGATATGAAGGGGCCTGACCATGAAGAGCTTTATAGGTGAGGAGGAGGATTTTAAATTCAATTCTACATTTTATAGGGAGCCAATGCAGAGTAGCTAGTACAGGAGAGATGTGATCTCTTTTTCTAGTTCCTGTCAGTACTCGTGCTGCAGCGTTCTGAATTAATTGGAGCGTTTTAATGGACTTATTGGGGCAACCTGATAATAAAGAGTTGCAGTAATCCAGCCTTGAAGTAACAAATGCATGGATTAGTTTTTCTGCATCTGTCTGTGATAGTATGTGTCTAATTTTTCTAATATTACGTAAATGAAAGAAGGCAGTCCTAGAGGTCTGCTTTATGTGGGAGTTAAATGACAAATCCTGATCAAAGATAACTCCAAGATTCCTGACAGTGGTGCTAGAGGCCAAGTTAATGCCATCTAGAGTGACTATATCTTTAGACAATGAGTCTCTAAGGTTTTTGGGGCCAAGAACAAGAATTTCGTTTTTTTCTGAGTTTAACATCAGAAAATTGCAGGTCATCCAGGATTTTATGTCCTTAAGACATGTTTGTAATTTAGATAATTGATTAATTTCATTGGGTTTGATTGATAGATATAACTGCGTATCATCTGCATAACAGTGAAAGTTAATGGAGTGATTCCTAATAATGTTGCCTAAAGGGAGCATATATAAAGTAAATAGTATTGGTCCAAGTACAGAACCTTGTGGAACTCCATGACTAACTTTAGTATTTATGGAGGATTCATCGTTAACATGTACAAACTGAGAACGATCTGATAAGTATGACTTAAACCAGGTTAGGGCAGTTCCTTTAATGCCAATTTGATGCTCAAGTCTCTGTAAAAGAATATCATGGTCAATGGTGTCAAATGCAGCACTAAGATCTAATAATACAAGTACAGAGACAAGTCCATTGTCAGAAGCAGTCAGAAGGTCATTATTAACTTTAACCAGAGCTGTCTCTGTGCTATGATGAACTCTAAATCCTGACTGAAAATCCTCAAATAAACTATTGTTATGTAGAAAGTCACACAACTCTTTGGCGACTACTTTCTCCAGAATCTTAGAGAGGAACGGGAGGTTAGAAATCGGTCTATAGTTGGCTAAAACCCCTGGGTCAAGAGTGGACTTTTTAAGAAGGGGTTTAATTACAGCTACTTTAAAGGACTGTGGTACATATCCTGATAATAAAGAAAGATTAATCATATCCAGTAAAGAAGTGCCAATTAAGGGAACAACTTCTTTAAGCAGCCTAGTTGGGATCGGGTCTAACAGACAGGTTGATGGCTTCGATGAAGAAATGATTGAAGTTAACTGATGAAGATCGATAGCAGAAAAACAGTCTAAATATACATCTAAGTTTACATTGACAGAAATCCCTGAACTTGGAGAGCCACTGATAACTGTTGATGGCAGTTGGTGATTAATTTTTTCTCTAATAGTAATAATTTTATTATAGAAGAAGCTCATGAAGTCATTGCTACTTAAGTTTATGGGGATATGTGGCTCGATAGAGCTGTGACTCTCTGTCAGCCTGGCTACAGTGCTGAAGAGGAACCTAGGGTTGTTCTTATTTTCTTCTATTAGTGCTGAGTAATAGGCTCCTCTGGCATTACGGAGGGCCTTTCTATAAATCTTAAGATCATCTTGCCAATTTGAGCGATATTCTGATAATTTGGAAGAGCGCCATTTCCTTTCAGATTTCCTAGCTATTTGCTTTAACTGGCGGGTTTGGTGGTTATACCAAGGTGCTAGTCTCCTATGTTTTAATAATTTCCTTTTTATAGGAGCGATAGAGTCTAATGTTGATCGTAGTGAGCCTGTAGCACTATCGACAAGATTATCAATTTCAGAGGGACTAAAGTTGTTATAGGACTCTGTTAAATTCAGACATGGCATTGAATTAAACACTGAAGGAATCTCCTCCTTAAATTTAGCTACAGCACTGTCAGATAGACATCTGCTGTAGGAAGTTTTGCCTAATGGCTTATAATCTAATAGTATGAATTCAAAAGTTACTAAATAATGGTCAGATAGGAAAGGATTATGTGGGAAGACTATTAAATGTTCAATATCAATGCCATAGGATAAAACAAGGTCAAGAGTGTGATTAAAACAATGAGTTGGTTTATTTACACTCTGACAGAAGCCAATTGAGTCTATTAATGATATAAATGCATTACTAAGGCTGTCATTGTCAACATCCACATGAATATTAAAATCACCTACAATAATTACTTTATCTGATTTAAGGACTAAGCTTGATAGAAACTCTGAAAATTCAGATATAAAATCAGAGTACGGTCCAGGAGCGCGGTACACTATAACAAATAGAACTGGCTGCAGTGTTTTCCAGTTTGGGTGAGAAAGACTAAGAACAAGGCTTTCAAATGAATTATAATTTAGTTTAGGTTTAGGGTCCATTAAAGTGCTCGAATCATATATAGCTGCTACTCCACCTCCTCGGCCTGTGCCTCGAGGAATGTGAGTATTAATATGACTGGGGGGGGTGGATTCATTTAGGCTAACATACTCCTCGTGGGACAACCAGGTCTCAGTAAGACAAAGTAAATCAATATCATAATCTGATATTAATTCATTCACTAAAACAGCTTTAGAGGACAGAGACCTGATATTTAACAGCCCACATTTCATTCTCTTATTTTGTGCTACTGAGGAGTTGGTTTTAATTTTTATTAGATTTTTATGTTGAACTCCTCTTGTTTTTATTTCTTTAAATAGTTTAGGTGGTCGGGGGACAGACACAGTCTCTATGGGGTTTTGGGTGGGTGACTGTTCTAAAGAAAGCGCAGAGAAGTGTGTAAGACAGCAGCTCTGCTTCCTGGTCCTAACTCTGGACTGTCAGGTTTTAGAGATAAACTTCGCCATATTCCTAGATAAGAGAGCCGCTCCATCCAAAGTGGGATGGATGCCGTCTCTCCTAATCAGACCAGGTTTTCCCCAAAAAGGCTTCCAGTTATCAATGAAGCCCACATCGTTTGCTGGACACCACCTCGACAGCCAGCGGTGGAATGACGACATGCGGCTATACATGTCATCACTGGTCACATTGGGGAGGGGTCCAGAGAAAACTACGGTGTCCGACATTGTCTTAGCAAAGTTACACACCGACTCCACATTAATCTTAGTGACCTCCGATTGGCGTAAACGGGTGTCGTTACCGCCGACGTGGATAACAATCTTACTGTATTTACGTTTATCTTTAGCCAGCAGTTTTAAATTTGATTCAATGTCGCCCGCTCTGGCCCCAGGGATACATTTAACTATGGCCGCTGGCTTCGCTAACTTCACGTTTCTGACTATGGAGCTGCCAATAACCAGAGTTGGTTCCTCAGCGGGTGTGACGCTGAGTGGGGAAAATGTATTAGAAACGTGAAGCGGTTGGTGGTGACCTGTGGGCTTCGCCGTTCTAGTCTTCCTTCGCTCAGTCACCCAGCCTCCCTGTCTTCCCGGCTGCTCGGGAACTACCGGGGGAACTACAGAGCTAACAGAAGCTACCTTCGGTCGGACCGCACCGGCTACCGGGGGCTGGCTAACTATAGCGGCTAAAGATATCTCAGTGGTGCGGTGCCGTTCCTCTAACTCACTAAGCCTCGCCTCCAGCGCAGTAAATAAACTACATTTAATACAGGTACCATTATCTTTAAAGGAGGCAGAGGAATAACTGAACATCTGACACACTGAGCAGGACAGAGGAGAGGGAGAGGGAGAAGCCATAGCTAACTGCTAATGCTAATGAAACTAGAGTGTATGAAAAACTTTGAAAGTAGTGAAAAGTCCCTAAAAGAGGGAGAAACTCCAAGTGTTTAAGTAGAACTAGTCTACGTTTAAATGTTAAGCGGGTAAATAACCGCTGTAACAAGTAAAACTAATTTATATTTAGCGTTCACTGACAGAGCTACAGCACCAAACAGTGTACACAGAGCAGGAAGTAAACCGGAAGTGAGTCAGTACGCTTACCGTGGCACGTCCAACCAGACAAACAGTCTGATCATAACTATCATATTCATAACTATTATGGTCTCTGCACAGTGATTTACCATGCCACCAGAGCGCCACCTAGTGGCGGATTGTTGACAAATTTTTTAGCGAGCCTCAGGGAGCCATGGGCAAGCATCGTACCAAGTTTCATTTCAATCACATGTGCTGTTATGGAGATATAATCTTCTTCATTTTAAAGAGCGCCACCTAGAGGCGATGGCCTGAAATTGTACACGATGCCTAAGGAAGACATGGGGAACTAAGGACCCAAGTTTGATGTCAATCGGACATACTAATGTGGAGAAATAATAATAATAAATAATAATAAGTTTTTTGAATGTGTGACAAACGATGCGGGAGTTATTAGCCTAAACGCACTTTTCATGATAGTAGCGCCACCTAGTGGTGGACCCGAAAGCGACGCATAGAATATAAAATTTTTCACCAGGCCTGACCACTTTGCCAAATAAAGTTGACTTTTCGTATATGTTCAGGGGGGCAAAAACGCAATCAAAAGTCCTAAAAATAGGGAGGAAGAAATGAAGCAAAAACAATAGGGACCTCCAAAAATTTTAAATTGATCCAATAAATTCCCTAGGAGGAGTTTGTTCAAATTCAAGGCGAAAAATCACAGAAAATGAGCTGGAATTCAAAATGGCTGACTTTGATGCCACGCCACGGACACGCCGTTAACGGAATGTCGTAAATAGCACAACTTTTAATCATGAATGTCTTTAGATTGCGCTGATTAAATTTGAA